GTGTTTGTTGTGCCCACCAGGGATGGGTGACCCGGCTTATTTCTACGTGGCCTGTGTGTTCCTGCTGAACGGCTTGATGATGAGCCTGTTCTTCGTTTACGGCGCCTACCTCAGGTAACAGAACCGTCACGCTCAGATGGGCATCGGAGAGAAACGGGGCGATTTTCTCAGCAGTGAGCTGTCAGGCGTGGACCATTTGTGTCCTGTCACTGCCAGAATTATGGATTTTGGAACATCCGATAGAAGATAACCTCTCTAAATCTTTCTCCTGCTCTCTGCCTCTCTTATCTCATGTCCCCATTTCTTTCCTCACTAGTGGCAGTCGACTGGGCGGCGTTGTCACCACGATGTGTTTTTTCTTCAATCACGGCGAGGTGAGTGCGCCACCCTGGCTATCTCCAGCAGCAGATTTAAATGCTGTAACTTTGTAGTGCGCCACAAATCCCACCGAGTGTAAGCTTCTAAAATGTGTAAACCTCAAAATGAAAAGGCACTTAGAGAAGCAGAGGGTGGTTAACAGGGACTCATTTCAGCCCTCAGAGGAGCTTAGAGTTGGTTTTGGCTGGCACTCAAAACCTTCAACTCCCTCCACCCGCCTCCTTCTCCCCAGTTTCCTCCAGAACAAATAGCCAATTGCTGTTTTACCAGATCAATACTCCGACATTTTAGTCGCACGCTGACAGGTGTTTCTCGGCTCTTCCCCTGAGCGATGTGCTGGTTTGTGGCATTTCGGGAGCGTCTGTGATGTTGTCGTTCGTCGGAGGAAGTGGTGAGATCGTAAATATGTCAGAGTAGTCGGAGGTGACAAACACATGCAGGGCTGTCGTGTGATTAAATGCTGGTGCTGGATGTTATCAACCAGTCGAGGCCGGTTCTGGTGTTAAAAACATTTACGGATGTGTGGCAGCTGCGGGTCTGAAAACCTGTTAGCAGCGTGTCATAACATCTTCCAGATAAATGTTTTCATCATGTAGAAATAGGACTATACTGTTCATCAGCTGAGAACAACAACTGCTTTAGAAATAACTTTCATCAGTCGATATCTTTTTGCATCATGATTCTATTGACGGATCTGTTTTGTTGCCACTTAAATTGACGATAATCTTGCTTAACATTGTCAGTGTGGGATAGGTTATGGCTAAAAGAGGGGAGAAGACACAGCCAGATTTAAACGTACGCTTTTATTAACTGGTTAAATTAATTCTTTCAAAGTGAGATGTGTGCGTCAGTGATATCAGTAGTGTAGGTGTGGATGCCTGGATGCGATGTGGTGCAAAGTGTTGTCTGACGTAAAGACCAAACCAAAATGACACAAGCCCAAGTCACAAGCATGAGGAGAGAGAGCAGGAGCTGAGGGGTTGGCCCTTTTGTAGCCTGGGAGCGCTGGGCCCAAGCGCGCCAAGCCGGTAGGACCGCCCGCTCAGTCTCCAGCAGTTTGAGGACCTGAGGAAGCAGAGCCAAACACAGACAGCCAATGTGCCCAACCAACATAATAGGTGGGGCCGTCACAGTTGTAGGCTGCTATTGTGGAGGTTGTGGTTGTTTTTTTCTGTGGCAAAGTGGATTTTGAGACGGTAACATGCAGATAGCGGAAGAGGAGGACAAAGCTGTGGCATATACGATGAGCATCCCTCCAAAAATACATCACCCCCTGGAGTTGATCAGTCACAAGCAGCAAAAACACTGTAGTAATTACTGTTGGGTTATATTTTTGGTTTATGTGATGCTTTTTTTTATCGTTAAATATTACAGCTATATTGTACCTGCTGTGTAGTAGTCAGAGTCAGTAAAACACAGCCAACACGTAGCACACTTTCAAGGGTGGAGCAGCTTAACCGGAGAGTCAGTGCAGCACCGTCTTAGCTTCACGGATTCACCAGCAAATTTCACGCAAAACTTAACTGTCCGCAACACAAATCGACCTCGTGGTAACTCGCGTGCTATAGATCCGAACGAACGTGCCACGCCCCTCGCAGTGGAGCTGCCTACGCCCGGCGCACGCTCAAGTTCGACGTTCTGCAATATGGTTAACAGAAGCCAGCTGCCAGAAACTGAACAAAGACAGTCTTTTGATAGCAAAGTCTTTTCACTATAAATGTGTTTAGCGAGTGCTGCAGGTCGTTTCTAAAGCTTACTCACACACTGCCAGTGACCATTATGTCTGACAGAGCAGCAGAAACTTGGCACGGTTAAAGTACAAACCACTCTGTAGCTTGTGAACAAAGCAATTTAAGCAAAATCCACCAGTCACAGATCTAAGTTATGGGCTCGACTGTCTACTCTTACAGCCTCAGGCCTTGAAAGTGAACCGTTCCCAAGTTACTGTATGCGCCGAGGGTTAATGAGCAGCCGATGATAGGCGTTTACCCGCAGCAGCCTACATCCAGTAACTCAACGTCGACAGAGCAAACCCTGAATCCTGAGGCCGGTGCTATAAAGCCAGTTTTGTCTTTTCAACCTAGCAACCAATGTCAAGCTAAGCAGTCACACAAAGCTGGGTATGAACTTGTTAAGTCAACCAGTTTTTCTTCTGAGTTGAGCTATGAACGCTTTCAGATGAATGTACCGTTTTTGGTAACATGGACATTTTTCATAGAATCAGAATCTGCTTTATTGACCAAGTGTGTGACCATTTAAACCATTTCAACAAGGACAACGGATTACGGAAGGATAACAAGTGTTAAGCTATGTACAGGTAGAGATATCTGTTAAAGAGCTGGAAGCACAAACTATAATCCGAAACTAAGATAAGGAATTTAAAAACATAATACATTTTTAAAGCTGCACAGCTGCTGCAGCCTCAGTAAGAAAGGAAAGCCGGCAAAAAGGTCACCTTATGTGAATGGGTCATTTAATGAACCTGTCAGTACCACTGCCCCATCATTAGGACACCAGGAGTTACAACTGTGTTTACATTAAACGTGCTGCTTAGAGGCTATTCTTATGCCCATTTTAGCCGTATTCTTTCAGCTGCAACCCTGGTGGTGCTAAACGGTCTTGGGAGTAAAAACATCGTTCAAACCAGTAAGTAGGCTTATTGCAAATCTTGAAAGGTCAACAAGTACAAGGCTTTAGCGCTTTATCAGTCTTCATTTTGGGATTATATTGCTACACAAAGGCCTATAGAACACTGAAATTGCTTTGAAAATTCTTGCAGTCAACGGGGGGAAAAACAAACCAAGGAAGGCTGGAGTTCACTCCACTCACCAGCTGTATCTCTCATTTCTGTGCTTGTTGGACAAAGAAAAGCATTTAGACAGTCTGTAAAGCCCCAACCTCCTCCTCACTATCTGTGCATCGAGCTCCACAGGAAGGATGGAGCCATTTTCCAAGCGAATCGATTAGTGAGGCGACGGTGCTTTTATGCATGTTGATATGTTATCTTGAACAGGGATATCTCGGTCAGGGTTTTTTTTGTCCTCATTTAGTATCGAGTCTCTGCTGATACTGAGTCCCAAACCAGTACTGGGAAAATACGCTTGCACAGCGCAAACTTCAAGCACGCAGAAGTTGTTAAAATCAATTGTCTATCTTTGCTAGACAACTGAATAGCCCTGCAAGTAAATAAACTAAAATATGTCTTAGAACAGTTCCATGTAGTACTGCTTTATAGCAGTAAAATTAGAATGTTAGAAACGAGTAGTACAATCACAGTTCTGCTTCAGTTCTACGACTTTAACATTCAAAACAAATGCAAATTTCAATTTTGCTTAGTGGAGCATAGCAATAAAGCAAGTACACAAAAAATTAACAACGGAGGTTTCATTTTCCCTTCAGAGTGGAAAAGCCAACAGCAGTCACATGTGATAAAATCTGATAAAGGAGATTGGACTGGGACATCCCTAATCTTGAACATAACCTGCTCTGGAGATGGACAGGTGTGCAGCATAAGTTACCTCGATGATGTGCCCTGATAGGAACCCTGAAAACCCAGAGTTCAACCTTGATTACTTCACTAACCCCAAATTCTGGCTCATGGTAAAGGCCTCTGAAAATCCTCTGGGCGGCAGCTTCTGACCTAAAAATATATCTACTCCATACCTGTCTGAACTGGAGGTAAGGTGAGCGCTGTGTTATTATAGGAAAAACCTCCTGAGACATTTCGTTATATATACAGTCGTGACTCGATAATCTGACACTAAATGTAAAACCGTCTTTTTTGTTGGATAGCAAGACTGAGGTCGAGGAGGGCTTGATGCTTGAAGGGTCATTAGTTGTTGATATTCATTGTTCATAGTTGTTATAATAACTAGTAGGGCTGGTCCCAATAGCACTTTCTGCGCTCTGAATATTCAGGCCCAAGTAATGATGAACATATGAATATTCGGCGCGGTCAGAAGACACTTCTACCCCGGGGCAGCGCTCTGACGGGGTGGAAGTGTCCAGAACACACAGGCAGTACTTGGCTGCTGATGCTAGTTTAGTTAGCGCTCACACTTCTGTTTCCTCCATCGGTGGCGGCGGGGGAGTGGCAGATACGCTCCACCGTTACCATCCATGTTTACTTCCATAAACACTGAGCACGCTCGCTGCGTGTGACGTCGTCGTGTCCTCTTCTGCGCATGCGGGACACTTTTGGGTCGTATGAAGTTCACACAGCAGATCACATACAAGTCGCATTGAACTGGAAACGTGAACGAACTCTCAAAAAAATCCTCATTGAGCATCAAGTCCTGCAGTGTGAACGTAGCCAATCTGTGGGATTGTTCAGTCAGATAATACGCCGTCATCCTGATTGGTGACATTAAATGTCATGTCGGAGTCAGAATCCAAGGCTGTCGCTATGTTAAGGCTGTTTTTATGGGTTCTGTTGGTTTTTCCTAAAAACCTGTCGGATAGCAGGTTTAGGATTGTTAAGGGTCGGATTATCGAGTCACGACTGTATGTTTTTTTTTCATTTTTATTGGATCTTTTAAAGTCTTTTTTTTCTTTCTTTTAAGCACTTTTGTGGTGAAAGGTGCTATACAGATAACGTTTCAATCAAAAAATCATAGCGCACCTTTTTGTTTAATCAAACTTTACATAATAATAATAATAATGATAATAAAAACTAAAATGATGACCTGATAAAAAACTAGAACTGAAAAAAAGCATCTGAAGCCTTCGCCTGCTGCATTTCATTCCACTGAGCTAACCTGGAATTCATCAATAAAATGGTTCTGCCAGTACAGTGGAACAGAAATGTCTGGCTCCCTCCCAAATGGTCAGCATGGATTAGGAGCATGGAAACCTCTTCACCTGCACTATTTTTAGCCCGTCTGAAATCCTGCTATTAGACATATGCCAAATATTTTACATTAAGAGCCTGACGACATGTGCACAAGCAGTTTTGCACTTATGTATGTCAGCATGGGATTAAATTACTAGATTTATTTATAAGCTGCTGAGGAATAAAATGTATAACGGCCTGTTTTTTTTTTTCCCCGCCTTGAAAAATTATAGCCAAGTGATACGTTTTGGAGATGTTTCATTTGATTTTTTATTTATTATTGTTGTGTGTGTGGCTTCATGTGTGTGATCAGAGCACTCGTGTGATGTGGACGCCGCCCCTGAGGGAGAGCTTCGCCTACCCCTTCCTCGTCCTGCAGATGCTTCTTCTCACCTACATCCTACGGTAAACTCACCATCACTGTCTCCTTCCTAGAATGTGCCCAGCTTTAAATCCCAGTGAGGCTTCACTTTTTTTTTTTTTTTGGACATTTCTGGTTGTTTTGTAAAGTGCTTGAAGTGCACAACTGTCACATAGGAACAGCATACTAATACATGCTAGGGCCTCCCTTAGCTCCCAGAACAGCCTCAGCTCTCGGTGTCATGTACTCGGCACGATGTGTGAAACATTCTCCCTCATGTTGACTGCATGACAGAGTTTCTGCAGATTTGTCAGCTGCATATTTGTCCTGCCAATCTCCTGTTCTGCCACATCCCTGCTGGAGTCAGATCTGGCGGCTGTGGAGGCCAGCGAGTCCACTGAGTCGATTTCATGTCCGTAAAACCAGTTTGCGATGACTTCTGCTTTGTGACTTCCAGTTGGAAGTAGACATTAGAAGCAGGGCTGAACAGTTAATTTATTTTAGGCCGAAATTGCGGTTTAAAACAGCGCAATTAGCAAATCACAAAGGCAGCAATTTAGGATGGATATTATGCAGCTGGGCTTTTAGCTGTCAAGTCAGTGGTTTAACAGTTGGTATCTCATATGGTAATGCTCCGTCACATGTTTTAAATCGACTACACAGTGGATTCTGAGCACAAGCTTGAAAGCAGTAATTGCACTATTTGTCAGAAAAAAAGATGCAGTTGGATATTTTAGCCCAAATTGTTCAAGAAGACGATAAACAGTGGCCACAGACGGTTGCACATGACAGGAGTGGAACCCCGACGCGGTCCTCTGCTTTCGTATCCCATCGGCCACAAGGCTGGATGCGCTGTGCATTCTGAGCTGCTTTTCTGCTCATCACAGTTGTAAAGAATGGTTATCTGAGCCGCTGCAGCCACCCTGTCAGATCCAGTCAGGCTCGTCTCTGGCTTTTCATCAAAAAGGCGCCGCTGTCTGCAGAGCTGCTGCTCACTTTTTGTTTTCCGCCGTTCTGACTAAACTCCAGAGAAAATCCAGGACATCAGCAGCTTCAGGAATGTCACTGAAATCAGATATTCTTCCTGTTTTGATGTTAATGATATTCTGATGAAGTTTAATGAAAGCCTCTGACTCTGTATTATTTTATGCGATGCACCATCGCCTCTAATTTGCATACAGGTGTTCCTTATACAGAGTGCTGAGTGAGTGTATATCTGAACACAAAACCTGCACTTTTACTATCTTCCGACTGACGCCTGGAATATTGTAGTGTATTAGTTTGATCGTTATTCATACCTAATTGTATCTCGGCGTGTCTCTTTGTGTGAAACATAACAAGACGGAGAAGCATCTGCTCTTCTTTTCTTCTTGTTAGCACCTTGCTTCCTTGTGACTTTAACATACGACAAGCTGCAGCCAGTTTCTCACAGTTTGCAGTGTCTGTTTTAATTAGCGGTGCGAGGCAAACCTAGCTTCTGTTGTCAGCTAAATAGCACATTGAAGGAGGCTCTCTGGTGAGTTAAATCACGCAGAAACACCGTAATCTTCTTATTGCACGTCAGCTGGTGAACGACACCTCGTATTATGTGAACACCGTTAAGAAACTGTGACTTTTTTTCTCACAGTATATTGAGACTGACCCTCGTTTTGTGTTTCTGAGCCTGCCTTTGTACATAAGTGGGTTTCTGTAGTACTGTCGGAGTGAGATTAAATGTGTGTGTGTGTGTGTTTTGTCAGGCGTCTTAATGCATATTCTCTTATCTCTCCAACACCCACACTCTCTCAGCACTTTATTATTTTTTATCCATCCCTGTCTCTCGTCTCTCTCTCTCCAGGACACGGAACCCGAGCAGGACAGCCATGGTCGCCCTGGGCATCTCCAATTTGTGCTTTATGCTGCCTTGGCAGTTTGCCCAGTTTGTGCTGCTCACTCAGGTAAACGGAGAGCAAGAGAAACATTAAGAGAGAATGTGGGAAGAAAGGAGAGGAGGCAGAGAAAATAAGGAGAAAATAGAGTCTTGGAGAGAACAGAGGACTCTGGCAGGGAAAGGTGCAAAGAGTGCAGACGCTTGGCAGGGCGGCAAAGAAATAAAGCGACGGGAAAGAATGCAGGGGAAGGGATAAAGACAGGAGAAATTACAAGAATACACCATTTACATTCTCACTGGATTAAGCTCTCTCTGTATACAGCAGGGAGTCCCCATGTTCTCCCCGTACAGCGTGGGTTCTCTCCAGGTTCTCCGGCTTCCTCCCACACAATCCAAAAACATGTTGAGGTTAACTGGTGATTCTGTTGTGTGAGTGTGCTTGGTTGCTCGAAAACGTTCATCATGTCTTCTTAGTGATAATATAACGTTCAGGTTCTTTATTCAGACATGTAGAGTGTGGTTCTTATTACCTGACAGTTTCGGCGACAACGCTCGCCTTCTTCAGAGATGACAACTGACAGCGGGTGACGTATCAGCCGGCACATGTTGACAGCCGGCACCTGCGGCACGCACAGCAGAGCCGCCAGATCCGCCGGGAAAGCCACGCCCACACCAAAATGGTGTGTCGTGGCGAGCCCAACAGACCCGACCGCCCCGCCAGGCGTGCCGCCCTCCCCCGCCGGTTACTTTTTCTGGAGCAGGTAGTCCCAAGCCTGCGAGAGCATGAAGCCCCCTTCGTCCCTGGGCGTGCCGCAGGTGCCGGCTGTCAACATCTGCCGGCTGACACGTCACCCGCTGTCAGTTGTCATCTCTGAAGAAGGCGAGCGTTGTCGCCGAAACTGTCAGGTAATAAGAACCACACTCTACATGTCTGAATAGAGAACCTGAACGTTATAGTGTGCTTGGTTGTCTGTCTCTAAGTGTGGCCCTGCGACGGACTGGCGACCTGTCCACGGTGTCCCCTGCCTTCGCCCTAAGATGGCTGGGATAGACTCCAGCCCCCCCGCGACCCTAGTGAGGATTAAGCGATGTATAGATAATGGATGGATGTATACAGCAGCAAAGCAAGGATGTGAAGTAGAAAGATTATTTTGAGTGGAATAGTTAAGATTGAGACGGACAGATTTAAGTTAGAAGTAGTAAGTTAAAGTGTGTAGGCAGGCAGACAAAAGAGTTCAACAGAAGTTTAAACCACCGCTCGACGACAACCAGGCCAAACGCTGCGAGCATCTGCGCTCAGCAACAGTTTAGCCCACGCTGCCGTGCCCCCCCTCAGGACTCTTGGTGCAGGGAGTTTAACGATATGTCGTTTCATAGCTGTAATTTCTGTCTTTTACATTCATAAGCTGTTAATTAAACCCATTCGCCTCATCTAGTGCAAGAATAAAAGCAAATCAAGGCCGAATGCATCCGCCCACAGTGCTTACTCATCAGTCCAGATGGAGCCCGACATCAGGTTTTTAAAAAATGCTTTAATTACACAGTTAAAAGCATCAATCTGTAGTATGCTTCACATCTTTACTGCACATTTGTACACAGCTAAAGCCTAAAGTGGGCCACCGGAGCAATTACACACTTTTAATGTGTTGGGAAATACGTCGGCCCGTCTAGAAAAGCTTTTACAACGCGGTTAATCGAATTTGCATGTAAATATGTATTAAAACCTGACATTTATATTTCCATCTTCTCCCTTGTGTGATTACATCCTGCGATTAGTGAAAGAAAACTAAAATGTTAAAGCAGGAAGTTGTAAGTAGACGGAATGATAAGAAGTTAGAAAGCTTCTTTAAACGTTGGGTTTCATTTTAAATGTCAGAATCAGCAAATCAGATTAATTAGCAAATTAGACAGCATTAGTAATTACACAAAAGGAAATGAGGCCAAGAGAGACGTAACAGAGGTCCCCAGCTGGACCAGAACCAGCAGCGCTGTGCTTCACGGTCAGCATCTTTACCCCCTAAGAGAGCAGAGAGCCTGTAATAGCTTTTTAAAGTGGATTCATCTATTGATCATAGCCAGACACAGCAAAAGTCTGTAATTATTCCAGTAGCACACTCCCGGCTCTACAATATGGAGCCATTATGATACAGTTTTAATCTATGCAGTTCCAGTGCAGCAGCAGGCTGCTCTCAGTACGCGGCTCTAACTTCTGGACACCACAAACATACTGTGGATGTTTTGTATGTACTTACAGTTTCATGTCACAGTGCTTTACATAAGACAGACAAAGGCAATAAGAGTTTATATAGCAGATTGCAGTTTAAAATGACACTTGCTCGGCTCCTTCTGTTCACATTTCAAAGTGTCCTTGGGCAAAACGCTGAACCCCCGGATGGCGCCAGACAGACCAGTGCTGCGACTGGGCCTAAATGAGTGCATGAATGGCAGTTTGTTAAAGAAAAACACGATACAAATGCAGCTTTTACCTTATAAAGTCTAGATTTTACATAATTTCCTCCTGATAAATAAATAATAACAGATTTCTATACGGATGACGACAGCACTGTGTCCACCTTTAGTAAAATTTTAGCTGGTGATTTATTGTCATTGCAGTAATTGCGATTAGCGATTTTTACGTTTATTTGATGCCCCTATTAGTTTTATATTAGCGGTAGTGGCGACTTTTAATGCCATGTTTTTGCTGTAAATCTGGCGAATTGCCTCCTCTAAGTTATTGGGCTCTCCTTCTCCGTTGGCTCGACACCAGCTTTGGTGTTTGACTTTGCAACTAAATCCAGGACTGTTAGTAGACGCTCATTAAAATGCAGTTGATCAGATGTTATTATAAGCTAAGCTCCTTGATGTAAACAGTCATTAAACCAATGCAGAAGAAGGACTCGCAAACGGTGGAAAACGATGTAGGAATAGTGATTAAAACATGACATTTCTGTTCGTTTCATCAGACTCTTTTTATACAGGTGTATGGAAACGATTCTTATGATGATGAAAAATGACAGTTAGCTCAAACACTTGCCATCAAGCGAACAATTGCCACAGGTCTATGTGTGCTTCTGTATGGAATGACATTTTAAGCACATTTTAAATACCCTGAAAACTCATAAGAAACTGTTATAATTCAGCATCTTTTCGATATGCTTAGTAGTTGCCAGCAACAAACTTGAGGTCAAAACATGAAAATGTGCTGGATGTAGGAAGCTGGCCTCATCTCTGCCACCAATACAAACCAACTACGGATGTCTGTGCCTGAAGTTTTACAGTGAAACAGTTGTTTACAGGTGTTTTAGTGTTGGAGCTTTCTGGAGTAAAGCAGGGGTCTCAGACTCAGTTTACCTGGAGGCCACTGGAGGTAGAGTCTGAGTGAGGCTGGGCCGCATCAAATATTCCACAAAAAAAGGGTTTCAAGTATTCAAAAAACGGTACAACTGAGCCAATCTTCTCAATCTTTATTAATAACAGTTCAGAACATGAACGGTTCTAAAGAACATCGGCTCCTCTTACCAGAGAGCTGGCAGCGCTTCCTCTGACACAGCTGAGCCACATTTGGCTTGAGGGAGGAAACAGTTGAGACCCTCAGTTTGGCTTGAAGATGCTCATCAGTAAGTCTGAACCTGAACTTTGACTTATTAAAGTTCATGGCGGTGAAGAGCTTTTCACACAGATGGAATAAAACAAACAAAACATGCATTTGCACTGGGTGACAGGATGTATTTTCCCTCCGCTCGGTGACTCTCCAGAATCACGTTTCAAGTGTTGCTAATTCATGTTGCTGACACAAACCTGAGCTATGGTCGCCCACAAGTGATAAAAATGATAAAACGCCCAGAGCAACGACTCATAGTGAGAAAAACGCGCTAACGTTAAACTTTGATGTCATGTAGAGGGCCACAAAATATTATTTGGTGGGCCTTAATTGGACCGTGGGCCTTGAGTTTGAGACCCCTGCTGTAAAGGTTGTGTACTGTTTTTGTTTTTCAGGTGGCGTCCCTGTTTGCGTCGTACATCCTGGGTTACCTCGCTGCCACCAAGATGCAGTCCATCCTCGTCACTCATATGGTACAGTTGATGCTCCTCCCTGTTATCTATCATTGTGTTTGTGTTGCCTAAATAAGGGATTTGATTGGCTTTGTTTGGATCATGTGTTACACTGGCCACAAGGCAAAGTTTTTCTAGCTTCTGTCCTCTAACTTATAACTTGCTCTTGCGCTTATCTCACTCAACTCCTTGCTCGGGAGAATTTCACGTGAGCCGTGAGTTTGCCACCGGCACCAGCAGGGACGGGCGTGATTGTCCTCAGCATTAACGATAACGCTGCGCATCCACGAGGGCCGTTTTAGCATGAGAGGCGGAGGATGAACTTATTTCACACTTCCAAGGACAAAAGTATATCTGTATTTATGTGAGAGTGTGTAAAGATGTTTGTGTGTGTGTGTGTGTCCATGTGTGTGTTATTCTGACCGTTCGTCCCCATTCTCCGCATTCTTTCGCCCTAATCCTCTCAGCATGCCAGGCTGTTAGCCAGGGCCTGTGCGCTTCACAGATAAGGAGAAGGGCCTTTGTGGTAAGATGGTGGAGATTTGTGTCAGATGGAGGCATATGGCTCTGCATAATTTAGAGAGCCTGGCGATGATGACTTTGGCTTGTGTGTGTCCAAGAAAAGAATACAGACACACAAGCAGACGTGTGTGTCCTCTGCGACCTACAGCGTTGCTCATGGTCGAGCTGTGTCACTTGTTACTGAGCGGACACGCATGTTGGGCTGCAGATAACAAATGCTTTCATTATCGGGTACGATTAACTGAACCTGTAAAATGTCTAAAAAAGAAAACACAATTTCTGAGATCCCAAATTGGCGCCTGTGCAAAATCTGCCAGTATTTATGGGTGTCGTCAACCAACAGAAACCTTGGTCTGAACTGAAATTATACCTAATCTTGAAACAAATGGGGAAAAATGAAATCTTTACAATGCTTTTACATGCCACAGCAGCATCCAAAAATATAGAAAGAAAGTACAAGAAAATCACAATAATTTATAATAACAATATTCACATTGAAAAAGAAAATAGATTGTGCAAAAATGAATCCATGACCATGAACTGTCCATTTGGTCAACATCAGCCAGTGATGCTGATGTTGTAAAGTCGTACTGCAGTTGGTAGGAATGACCTGTGGTGGCGCTCTTTCTTGCAGAGAGGACGTCTCAGTCTGCTGCTGAAGGAGCTGCTTAAAGCCCCCACAGCCTCATGCAGCGGGTGAGAGGGGTTGTCCATGATGGATGTGAGCTTTGCTAACATCCTCCTCTCACCCACCTCCTCTGTGGAGTCCAGGGAGCAGTCCAGGACAGAACTGGTCCTCCTCACCAGTCTGTTCAGCCTCTTTCTGTCCCTGTCTGTGCTCCCTGCTCCCCAGCAGACCACTGCATAGTAAACAGCAGACGCCACCACAGTGTCGTAGAATGTCCTGAGCAGAGTCCTGCACACTCCAAAGGAGCTCAGTCTCCTCAGCAGACGACTTTGGCCCTTTTTGTACAGGACCTCTATGTTGTTAGGTTAACTAGATTAACCAAATAGATAGTAAATAGTAATAAATAGTTGATTAGCTAAATTAGCCAAAGACTGCTAGCCCTGTTTGTGTCAATGAAAACGAAAAGCTAGTCTTAAATCATTTCAACCTGATTGTTTTATACTGAAATGACAACAACAGACTCTGAGCAGACCTTTGTGCTCCTGTAGTCATGTGATTTCTGAAAATAGGACTATAGCAACCCAGTTTAAAGAACTATATAGGTTAGACAGGATAGACAGGTTTCAGATGATCTGCCATGTTGGTTGTTTAGCTATGGTTAGCATCGTTCGCTCGCAACTTGAAGGTCGCCGGTTTGCGTCCCGGTGAGGACACCCGGGATCTTTCTGTGTGGAGTCTCCATGTTCTTTCCATGTTCCCCCAGGTTCTCCAGCTTCCTCCCAAACATGCTGAGGTTAATTGTTGATTCTAAATTGTCCGTAGGTGTGAATGTGAGTGTGCTTGGTTGTCTGTCTCTAAGTGTAGCCCTGTGATAGACTGGTTACCTGTCCAGGTGAACCTGCCTTCACCCTGAGTCAGCTGGGATAGACTCCAGCCCCCCATGACCCTAGTGAGGATTAAGCGGTGTATACATAATGGATGGATGTTTAAAAACTCTACACGTAACTTTTGATCATCCATTTTAGACCCAGCAGTCTCCATTAGGTTGGGAAACTTCAAAGTTATAATAACGCAGCTGTGTTTACAGGTCGTCTGTTCCTTTCGCTGCCAGAAATAATGAATTTGATGCAGCACTTTTCTCCTCAATAAAACACCGCTGGTGATTGTTTGAATAATCTGGTTGGATGAGAGTAACACAACTGAACAAACTGACCAGTTGCCCCGGAGACTATAGCCATGCAAACATTTAATTTACAATGATGATAAATCAGTGAAAATCAACAATGTTTATTATTTTTGCCTGCAAAATAAATGATTAGTAGTTTATTGTAATTGTCAATCAACAGTAAATTAATATGCAATTAGTTTATCTAATTTTGTGTTTGTTTATTTGTTTTCCTTTTTCGGAGATATGCCAAAAATTTACTATTTGTAGCCTTTTAGTCTTTTGTGATAGTAGACAGCTTTTGAGAACAAGCAAGAAGAACTGTTTTTAGACATTTTAATAGACCAAGCAATCGATCAACAAAGTGATAATCATATTAACTAAGAATGACATGATTTGTCCACTACAACCAGGAATAAGTCATTACATTTTGACTGCTTGATTAATTGACTTGCAATATTGTTTGTGTGTGATTTTGTGACCACCAGACTTTCTTTGGATGTTATTTAACATTATTGACATAAAGCAATGATGTCATTGTGGTGTTTGGTTCAGTTTGGTCAGGTTTGGTTTTTGTACTCTGCCCTTCTTGTGACTGTCGGTACCTGTTGATCCATTATATTTAGGTACTCAGCTGTTTATCTGTTACTTTCATGTTTATCCATTTCTGTTCGCTAAGTGTTCAGAGGCCTGCTAGATTGTAAACTGCTTTCACACAGACATTACAGCTGCTCAACATGTGGGTAATTTTTCATTTTCAGATCGTGTTATTAGACTATACAATCTTTGCAAGCACTCGCTAGCAGTTGATTGTAAGTGCCCCTGGTTGGTAATCACTGTGTGCGCGATGCGGAGCGATGCATTATTCTGCTCTTCACTGTAGGATTTAGCATCAAGAGTTCATGGAATGGGATTATTTTCTGCTCCTGGCTGTGTATATCCAGTTGAATGCATTTGTTAGACTTATTATTGACATTTAATACAGTATCTCCCAGACCAGCCTCCTTCTGCAGGGAGGCAGAGATGCTATTTGCAGTCAGCATTGGATATGGAAACCTAAAGAAGCTGGCTGAGCCTCAAGAGCTCGCTGCCAACATCATATGTTCAGCATTATTTCTAATTACACAGACAGATCACGCACATTAAGCTGCTCGATGGGCTGTGCTTGAACAGCCCACAGCCGTGTGAGCGCCGCGGGATTGTAATGAATGACACCTCCTCTCTCTCTGGCCTCCCGCAGATCACACTCGGCGTCTGCTTTATCCTGATGTTCGGCAACGCCATGCTCCTCACGTCCTTCTACGCCTCCTCGCTCGTCTCCATCTGGGTGAGTTCGACGAGGAGTCCGATGCACTGCATGAAAACTTGTTGATTGATTGGGTTGGTCGAGATGAGCTCGGTTTGATCAGTGTTTGACTTAAAGGAGCAGCAAATGCATTTGTAAAAGTAAATGTGTTGATTGTTTTTGTTTGTGTTTTTAGGTGATCATTGCATTGAGAGATCGATTTGCACAAGTCTTTAAGGCTGGCATCGTCATCTGGGTGGGTTTTTGTACCTTATTGCAAAAGTGCATTCTGTATTTACACCTATTTTTATTCATTCCTACAATATTTTTATATTTTAAAGCAAAAACAGCCCAAAAAAATAGAAAGAAATACCCAAAACTTACAGTTACTTCTCCAGGCTACCTCCTCTAATAAGACATTCCTCTATTTTATTTAGTTTTGGGCTTCATATTTAATCCATTTTCCACACTCTCTCAAAAAATCCAATACATATTTTATTCTGCTTCTTGTGTTTAGAGGAATGCAGAGATGTTTTTTTTTTTTATCACTTTATTTTAGCTAAAATAACCAAATGTGGCTAAAAGCGATAATTTAACATCAGCTTTTTTTAATTCTTTATTGACTATGTGCCAGTATTTAAGATGAACATCTCCAATAACAAAAATGCCATCGACCTTGTGGCCCTAACTTAGTGTTTCTGTGTCGGCTTGCTAAATAAACAGCCCAGAGGTAAAACAGTGGAACTGCCTCACTTTCCATTTACTTTCACTTGAAACGGCAGCACCTGGAATATTTGATTATAAGTCTGCCTGCCTCGTGTCGTGTGAACACGTCAACCAGCCAATGTGTGCGTCTTTTCTTCTGCTGCAGGTCATGCAGGGTCTGGCTTGGGTCGGCTCCACAGTTCTGCTGAAATTCATGCTGTCCACGATCTTCGGTGCTTCTGATGATGTAAGCTACTGTAACGTCATGTCTGGAAAGCCCACAAATAGTCGTGTTCCTTGTGTGACAGTGATGGTGTGTTTGTCGTGTACGATGTGAGTTTGTAGGTTGACATGTTGAAATGTTTAGCAGTTGTGTCATTTCACACCAGAGGAGATTGTACTGTACAATAAAGGAGCTGCAAGGTGGATCTGTGGTTAGCACCGTCGCCTCACAGCTAGAAAGTTGCCGGTTCGCAACCAGGTGAGGACACCCGGGATCTTTCTGCGTGGAGTCTCTATGTTCTCCCCGTGCAGCGTGGGTTCCTCCCACACAGTCCAAAAACATGCTGAGGTTAATTGGTGATTGTAAATTGTCCGTAGGTGTGAATGTGAGTGTGCTTGGTTGTCTGTCTCTAAGTGTAGCCCTGTGATAGACTGGTTACCTGTCCAGGTGAACCTGCCTTCACCCTGAGTCAGCTGGGATAGACTCCAGTGAGGATTAAGCGGTGTATAGATGATGGATGGATGAACAATAAAGAATATTTTCAAATTCATTCAAACGTTTTCAAATCCAAATACATGTCATTTACAGGCTCATATCAGTGGACTCATCAAATCCAAGTTCACGAGCTACAACGACTTCCACACTCTGATGTACACGTGCGCTGCCGAGTTTGACTTCATGGAGTTAGAGGTAAGGTTGTTTGTTTATCAGAATCCGTTCCTCCATCAGAGCTGACATTTACCTTCTGCCACTAAAGTGCGCTATCTGATCACTGCGACTCTTGTCAGCTGAAGCCTCCGCCGATAACTCGCAAGTCTCGGGCGGTTCGCTGCGAAAGTCTCGACAAATTTCAGTTTTTTAAAATGTCACTCAGTCTCCTGTGAAGATGTCAGAAATATCAAAACGCCTGCTGCTTTTGTATCAGAGTGGCAGGATTGTCTCAGCGGGGCTGAGTGTACGGAGCGCCAGATCTGTGCTACGGATATGACAGGAAGCAGGAACCTGACAGCAGAACCTGGCAGCTCTCCTCGGGCTGAGTTATGTGCTAGACAGTGGCCTGGTTTCGTGTGTCTGTTCTCCGAGCAGCGCAGAGGGACTAATGCATGCTTTTATAACTCGCAATAAATCAGCCACAATTAAACCAGAACTTTCCTTTCTCGGACCAGAAGGAGAGCACACTCAAACCTTTACGCTGGCTTTTGCATTGATTTTGAAATTCTTTTATTAGTTCAAAAAGCACTGTCAGGTTTGCATCATACTATCTATCAGGAATGGTGAAAAGGAGCCTTTCGATTCTCTTGCACTGAAAATATTAACATATAAGTGTCTCATAAGTTTTTAGAGAAGTTTTCTTATATTTTTTTTGTGTCTTGGTTCCTGTTTTTAATAAACATTTTACAGTTTTATTGTGATCTACTGATGTACTTCCTTTACTCACCTTGTACTTTTTTCCATATTTCACTCATACTCTGCTGTGCTTTAGTCCTCTAGTTAGGTGAAATTTGAACTTGTCTAGCTTAACTTAGTCTAGCTGTTGATTCATTGAATGATGCTGTGAATGTGCACATGCGTTTCTTCTTGTGAAACCCATTACAAAGCTGTCCTCTCTATCTCCAGACGCCTGTACGGTACCTGAAAACGTTGCTGCTGCCCGTCAACGTGCTGGTGGTCGCTCTCATTGCCGGCAGGGTGAGTCTTCTTCGAGTTTTCTTTGACTGTAACAGGTGTGGCCTAAAAAAATTAAGTCTAACACCCAAAGCAAGCCGAGGAGATTACAGGGGATGAAGATCTGTGTGTGTGTGTGTGGTTTAATACCAATTAGAAACTTCATTAACAGCTAATTGACTTATAATGCTTCACTCGGAGTCTGCGGAGAAAAACAATTATTTGCTTCCGTAGTTATTCTTGCCACTCCAGAGGCTTTGCATTCTGGACGAGCACATGCAGTATTGCAGAGTTTACGATAATAAAAGCGGCAGATTTGACACTGGAAATTCAGACAGCTGGACGGAAAGTGATGCTCGCGTGTTTTGACAGCCTGTCACTGGCAAATTTAATCAGCTGCAGCCAGTTCTGTGAGTGAGCAAACAGTGCAGCGGGTTGGTTTCTAACAATATCACACAGCGCGTCCTGCTGACTTATTTTAAATAAGAATAATTCAAAGAGTTCTTGATGTGCGCTTGACGGCTGCTGAAAGTGGCGGTCGACCAGGCTTTCAGTGGCTGATGCCCATTATATGCAGAGCCGAGCGGTGGGCGGCTGATTAAACATCGTGTTGTTGTTGGTTTTGAGCAGCCACAGTACGTAACAGTTGCGCCACATATCAGCGGATTCCTAATAATAGTGATAGCGAAGAATTATGCTGTTAGGTAATAACGAGAAATGAAATCCCAGCGTGATGCTTCATGTTATCTGAGGCTAACAGTTACCCGTGAAATGACAAATCTGATAAATGCTTTATTACTGCGGTTCCTCGGCAGTGCAACTGGAAGCAGTTTAATTAAACAGTCAACACTGTATGTGGAAATAGAAGTGGCCATATTAATATGTTGAGCTTTGAAGGCTGGGGATTGTAAGTCTCACTGTTTTGTCTCTGGTATCATCACATCCAGCTCGTTCCCCATTGGTTCACAGCAACCACTGGCTGCCTTCACCACAGACTCTGCTTTCGTTTTTTTTTGCTTACCGGCCTCATTAAACAATGAGCCGATGCAAATTATCTCAAAATGACAATTAATGAGTCTATGACTGGCTGGAAGACTGAGACTAAAGCTGCAGGTCGATGGCAAAAATGAAAAAAGATGTTACAGAAACTTGATGTTATGTTTTTTTTAACTATAAGAGAAAATATTTGAGCCCAGCCAGTGTGTCAGGATGTATTATGTTTATGGTAGCATCAGCTGCTTGTGCTGTTGGGGTCTAAACTTCTACAGATCAAATTAAGGGCAGGACAAGCTCGGTGGTTAGCATCGTTGCCTCGCAGCTAGACGGTCGCCGGTTCACGTCCCGGTGAGGACACCTGGGATCTTTCTGCGTGGAGTCTCCCACCCTGAGTCAGCTGGGATAGACTCCAGCCCCCCATGACCCTAGTGAGGATCAAGCGGTATATAGATGATGGATAGGTGGATGGGAATTGGGAGAATTTGCGTAAATAATGCACATTGATAATGCAGTTTTTTGTGCAACTTGTACTGCTACAAGATATTGTAGTTGGATGATGTTGCTGAACTTGTTAGCTTTGGAAGTAACAGTCGCTGTAAGCAGTAATAAAGACATGTTTGTGATAGCAGACAATGTTAGAGTAGACAAACAGATTGTTCAATCCACTCATTACTAGTTTGTACCAACAATACTATCAGGAACATGTTTTTGCTACTAAGTTGTTAATTGGATATGCAGCATTTTAAAAAATCTTTGACACACGGTAGTTATTTATCAAAAAGAAACTTCCAAACACCTTTCAACTGCATCACATGCTGCAAAATGTAATCATGAAAGGAGTTAAATAATCGGAGCACCTGACAAAATCCCAGATTCAGAGCTTCAGCAACGTGTAAACTTTCCTACAAAAAGCTATTACAATCCAAGATATGTAGAAAGAGCAGCACAGAATAGCCGTAAAATATATATCGGGAATCACAAGTTTCTTCTTGGCTTCCTCAGTTCTGAAGTCTTTTGTAGTTCAGAAATTACACAGATGTGTCTGCGGGAAGGTGTCAGAGCTGCAATATGAAACCTCCCATCGCACCTTCCAGAACAGCGCAGCAGGCAGTCAGACATGACGATCAAATCACTTTTTGAGCCTTGAGACTTCACTGCAGCAGGAAGACAGAGCTGGCTGTCTCAGCTGCTCTGGTCACTACACATTCCTGCTCCCTGAGCTGCCTGAATATAGGAAGAGGCTTTTTAAAATTCAGGTTACGTTCTTTGAGTTTCATGAAATTGTTTTGTTTGCTCAGAAATTGACACATGTGCTCATTTAAGCTTTTCCAAGTGAAGAATAGAGAGATTTATTCCTGATTCCTGTCACATGAGACATTTTTAGAGGAAAAACATCAGAGAAAGAATATTTAAGGAAGTCCTCTTTATGTCGTTTAATCTTATTATGTCTTGCCCACGCTAAGCTGAGAATACATGAATCGATTTGACAAAGCATGGTATGCTGTACATGAGCAAGCTGTTGGGGATGTCTCCTCATACAGCAAATCTGTCACACAGAGCTGGAAACATGACATGAGACGGAATATGCTTTTACAATATTATGTTCCAACCATTTGTCCTCTCCAGACTGTCCAGGATATAGTCCGGACCCTGCGGCAGGGAGGGAAGACATCTGTCAAGACGGATGAAGCTGATGAAGCTGCAGGGTGAGGCTTTGTTGTGACCTTGTTGCTGATTTCACTCTCTTTCTGTGTTTATGTGATTAAATACAAAGAAGACTAAAAAGGAAGATTATTTTGAAATGACTTGTTTTGGTGGATTTGAACAAGCAATATCTTGATGTATATATACAGTCATGACTCGATAATCCGGCACTAAATGTAAAACCTTCTTTTATGTCGGACAGCAAGACGGAGGTCGAGATACAAGGAGGGCTTGATGCTGGAAGGCTCATTAGTTGTTAATATTTATTGTTTATAGTTGTTATAATACCGAGTAGGGCTGGTCCCAATAGCACTTTCTGGTCTCTGGATATTCAGGCCCAGTTAATGATGAATATTCGGCACGGTCGGGGGACACTTCCACCCCGGGGCAGCGCTTCGACGGGGTGGAAATGGCTGGAATGCACAGGCAGTACTTGGCTGCTGATGCTAGTTTAGTTAGCATCACACTTCTGTTTCCCCCACCGCCGTGCGCATGCAGGACACTTTTGGGTCGTATGAAGTTCACACAGCAGATCACATACAAGTCGCATTGAACTGGAAATGTGAACGAACTCACAAAGAAATCGGATTTCACGAAAAAATCCTCATTGAGCATCAAGTCCTGCAGTGTGAACGTAGCCAATCTGTGGGATTGTTCAGTCAGATAATACGCCGTCATCCTG